ACAAAAAATGTTTCTCTATGAAATTTCTGCTTTAACGTGTGTAGTATGATAGAAAACTTGAAAACAGGAATTTTTTTCTCTTTGAGCCCTCCGCTTGTACGTGTGTATTTAGGTAGACAAATTGCCTGCACAACATTTCTTTTGTTTGAAAACTCTGCTTTTACTTGTGAAGAATGGTAGAAAACTTGACAACAAAAACTTTTTCTCTATGAAATTTCTGCTTTAACGTGTGAAGTATGGTAGACAGCATGACAGCAATATTTTCGTTTAATCAAAACTCTGATTTACATATGCAGTGTGGTAGATAAAATTATTACAACACAAAATTTTCTTCTCTTTGAAACCTCTGCTTCTACGTGTGTAGTCTGGTAGGAACAATGACAACAAGAAATGCTTTTCTTTGAGACCTCTGCTTTTACGTGTATGTACTATGCTATAAAAGTCTACAACAAAAAAAAACTCTCACTTTGAAACCTCCGCTTTTAAATGTGCAGTATGATAGAGATTGACACCACAAAATTTCTACTCTTTGAAGTTTCTGCTGGAACGCGTGTAGTATGGTTGAAATATTGACAACAAAAACTTCTTCTCTTTAAATCCTCTATTCTCATGTCGGTGTACTGAGGTAGAAAAAACTACATCAAAAGCTTTTTTCCTTTGAAACCTCTGCTTTTACTTTTTTGTATTGTAGAGAAAATGACAAAACAATTTTTTTTCTTTGAACCTTTTACTTTTACGTGTGTAGTGTGATCAAAAGCATGACAACAAGAACCTTCTTTTTTTTAAACCTCTGCTTTTACGTGTGTAGTCTAATTGAAAAACGACAAGACAAAATTTCTTTTGTTTGAAACCTCTGCATTTATGTGAATAGGTAGAAAACATGACATGAAGAAAGTTTTTTTTTAATTCTGCCGTTACGTGTGTACTATGTTAGAAAAATTCACTGTAAAAAAATTCTTTTTATGAAACCTGTGCTTTTACGTGTCTTGTATTGTCGAAAAAATGACAGCGCAAATCTTTTTCTTTGAAAAATTTGCTTTTGCATTTGTAGTATAATAGCAAACTTGCTAACAAAAACACTTTTTTCTTTGAAAACTCTGTTTTACGTGTATCTACTATGGTAGAGAAAACTACATTCGAACATTTTTCTTTTTTTGAAACTTTTGTTCTACTTAACTTGTAGAAAAAAGGACAACACAAACTTATTTTTCTATAAAGTTAAATGTGTAGTATGATAGAAAACGTGACAACAGGAACATTTTTCTTTTTGAAACCTCTGCTTATACATGTGTGTACTATGGTAGAGAAAACTACAAAAAAAAAATTTTTATCTTTGAAATCTTTTCTTTTAAGTGTGCAGTATGATAGAGAACATGACAACACAAAATTTCTACTCTTTGAAACCTCTGCTTGCCCGTGTGTAATATGGTTGAGAAATTGACTACAAAAATGCTTCGTCACCGATGTCACATCCATCAAAAAGCTTGAACACGGGTTCGATTGAAAGGTTTAGTTCTTTTACGATATATAAAAGTGTTGTCGCCTTTATGTTGAGGATGCTGTCTTCACATAAGCATTTTCGCCGTAAGGACTTACGGATCACCGACCCCACTGAACTTGATAGTGCAGAAAACAAACTCATACATCTTGCTTAGTTAAAAACACTCACCAATGGCAAACAAATTAGGAGTAGTAAAATTGCCACATACTCTCCATTTATCGGTCCCACTAGTATCATTCGTTCCACCTGCAGGATTGTTCGCTCATTGAATACCGAGTTTGCTAATAGGCACCCAATTTTACTAGTTCGCTTGTTGACCGCAGCCTCAATTATAAGCATTTTCATCAAGGTTTAGATTACATGTGTTCCGTTGTAAATATGAGATATGCAATACTTGGGCTGCGTCGACTACTTCGGTCTATCAAAAATCATTGTGTAACATGCCGTAAGCGCAAGGCAAGCACCATCCAGCCAGTTATGTCCAATTTACCTGTCGAACGGCTCGGATATAAGCAACCACCCTTTAATCAAATGGGTGTGGATTACTGTGGACCGCTTTACGTTCCCGTTCGCAGAAGCACTGAAAAAAGGCGGGGATTTTTTTTTCACTTGCCCCACCACCAGGGCTCTACACCTTGAGATCGTACCATCTCTGGACACTAGTTCTTGTTTCATGGACATTGAACGGTTCATTGCGCGTCGTGGTACACCAAACACGATCTGGTCGGATAACGGCAGGAATTTGGTTGGTGCGTAAAAGGAATTACTCGCCTGCAGCAAGAGTTGGAACGGCATAGCTCCGACCACTTTTGCACACAAAGGTGTTGCTTGGAAATTTAACCCGCCAGGCGCACCCCATCATGGCGGCTCCTGGGATTCTTTTGTCCGCAGCGTGAAGCGCGTGCCTTATGTTATACTAAGCAGTAGGCCAGTTACTGAAGAGGTGTAAGGAACAACACTCTGCTAAGTTGAGCAGGCTCTGAATTCGCGGCCAACCACTCCCGTTAGTACTGATTCACGTGAGTTTAAAGCGTTAACCCCAAACCACTTTTTGATGGGACAACTAGCCACAAGCTTTCTTATGCTTTTACCTGGGGAGCACTTCGACCACAAGAAAAGGTAGGTACGAGCGCAGTCGTATGTTAATGCTATTTGGTCTCGTTGGCTTCGCGAATATGTTCACTCACTGAATAAACGTGTCAAGTTGCGCACTCATTCTAACTTCACTCTTAAGACAGGCGATCTTGTATGATTGATTGAGCCCAATAGTCCGCGTGGGTACTAACCTTTCGCCCGGATTGTCAAGCTAAACTACGGACAGGACGGTTGCGCCCGATCCGCTCTTGTTAAGACCGTAAATCATGAAGTCGCGCGGCCGACCGTTAAGCTCGCCACGGTTCTTCATTCTTCAGGGGGAGGCTGTTGGAGCGGAAATGTAAGCGAGAGTATAAATGCATGTAGACAAACTTGAAAAAACTTGAATATGATTGGACCGATATATAACTACCTTAAACACAGTTGGCCATGCGGCCAAGAGACAAGTCTATCACGCCGATCAACCGGGTTCGAGTCCTTCCTTTGGCAGACCTTAAAACATATAGACCCGAGAGGTTATAGCCCCATTTGACCGTTTTTCAGAGTTTTTTTTTGGTTCTAATTTGGTTCAGCCTTCATTAGGGCTGACCGCCGAAAAGAGCAATTTGTCTCAAAGACATACCGGTTCTTGTGGCCAGCTTGCGCCAAAATAAATTATAATCGGGGCTCAATATTGTTGAAAGTATGAACGAGATTTTTGGACTTTGGATTATTTTACTGTTTGTATTGACGACATGAGTGGTTTGTAATGCCAAAAATACAAATAAAGTTTTTTTGTCTAACCAATGTTTCCTAGTTACAGATATTGAGCGAACATACTTTATTAATCGCTGCATTCTTAATTGACGATTTGAAGGGCGAAATGTTTGAGAGGCGAAACGTGCAAATACATTCATTAAGGGTGAAATGTGCGAGAAGCGAAATGTGTGAATACCACTATAGTGGACTGTAGAACTGATTTATACTATTTCTTGGAAAATCAGTAGTTGCTAGCAGTCTCCTTCGGCAAACAAGATGCTGGTTTAAGGTGGTTTTGCTGGCTTTTTTGACAACTTTGGTCTTATCTCAAAAAACTTCAAACTTTCAATTCCGAAAAAAACTATTACTTTTGGCAAAAATTTTACTGTGAATCTTGTTTTGTACGTATACTGGCAATTTTGGAATTGAAGTTTCCTCTTTGACTAAATTGTGCTAAATTATGCCCATTTGTTGCAGTATCTTCGCTAGAGCGGCAATTATTCCGAGAAACAAACAATCGTAACTGCTTTGAGCTAAGATAGTTTAGTGAATTTGAGCAAGAAACGTGAAACTTCTTGCAAAAAAGAGAAGAAAAACCATGTTTTCGATAAGTTTATCAACAGATATCAACAGGATCTATAAGTTTCTCGAGGGGGGGTCGGATTTTCAAAAAAAAATTTTAAATTTTGTCGACCCTTTTTTTGGTCGACTAAATTGATTTTCTGAGCTCTCCCAAACCACTATGAAGACACTAATTTCAGCAATTTTACTCGTTATTAGGCATTTTTTGGAAAATTTCGACCAAAAAAATGCGCTTTTTTCGGCGCGCACTCACTCTTCAAAATTAGTATAGATTAGCACCGAAGGCGGGGTGCCTTTAGTAAGTTTTTAGGTTCCGTCAGCAAATAAGGATATCTCAAAATAGTACAAAGGTGGGAATATCTTCTCAGGTTCTGATGAAAAAGTAGGTGCACTACAGATTTGTCAAAACAGCCAATATGATGTCATTCTAAAATCAATTCCGCCATAATTTGTTTGGGCTGCTAAAAACTTTTTAGGACAAAATTCCGATGTTAAGTCTAAAAAAAAACAAAAAAAAGTTGGAGTTTTGTTTTATCTGTCTAAATTAGGGCAACGAGAGTCAGTCTTAATGCGAGATGAAATTTAGTGATTCATTCTAGCAGTCCCTTTCTGGTACTTCTTTCCGTCATCGATTTTTGGTCGAGATTATAAACTAAATCCAGCGCAAAATCTTCCATTTTTTAAGGGCTTTAAAGGGTTTTTAAAAGGGTCAGCGTCAAAAATTTGAGCAGTTTTCTTTTCAAATTGCACCATCCCCCTTGAAAATATCTAAGCCCATCACAAGTAGCGCCAGGCGCGGATCTACAATTTTCTCAAGGTGGGGTCTGGCGGAAAAAAATTCAAACACTTTGTTAACTTTCATTGAGTCAATCAAATTGATTATTGGATGCCTCCAAAAACACTGCTAAGAACAATTCAAAAATTAAGTTTTCTCAGCTCACGATGATGACTGTTACATCTTTTTATGTATTTTTGGTTTTGTCATGGTACCACCTTGTAGAATATTCAAGTAATATAGCCGTACCTTCTAGCCTTCTTTGCTAAATTATGCTGCTTTATTTTCTGGTACGTAAGTTCTGGATTTTACGTAAGTAATTTGGTTGATTCACGATCGTGCTATGACGCCAAGAATAGACGTGCTATGAGTTTTAATGCTTACAACAATTTTTAAATTTTTTCTATCGAGCCGTAGGTAAAAAAAATAGTTGTAAAACATTATATCACGTGTATTGCTTATGCGAATTTTTTTTTCTAATCCAAAAATAGTGATAAATTGAATTTAAAAAGTCAGCAAAAAGTTTGCTGCCTTTTCAAACCCTCAAATGCTGGAAACAAATGTTTGAAAAATAGCGAGAAAACGAACAAAAAAGCCTCACAATTTTTTATCGCTTAAAATTTTCCTTGAAGCGTGTCCACTTGTTAGCAAAACTTTACTTTCTTATTCGTTTTAGTCAGTTAGGGCAAACAAATTTTATGGTAATTTTTACTCAATTTTGCGGGGGTCATAATAATTTGAAAGCTACATTAAACCATATTTTGCGAATAAGATCAACACTGTTTACCTTTAAACTTCAGTTTATTTCACTAGCGTTACTTCAAGGGCAACAAATCTGAAAGACCGTTTGCTCACTTATATTCTGCTTCTGCTTTCATTCCTTTTATTTTGACTTGCAGTTCAAATAATCTGTCAAATCGAAATTTTGGCCCAGTCGAATTTCTACCCAGACTAAATGTATGCGTAAGACCCCGAGACAAGTGATGCGAAATAGCCCGAATCGAGAGAGTTATCTCAACACAATATACACATATTTCAGTTGGGCAGCTCATATAGGATCCCCCAAGGACCAAAAGGCATTCTAAAAATAGTTCAACTAAAGCTTGATTTTTATCATACCTACCATGAAGTTAGGCCAAGTTAATATTGCATACCATTAACATTATAGCCTCGACCATCTATTTGTCAAAAGCAAGATTTTGTTTATACTTTTGGTGTTGATAGAAAACCCTCTGCAAATATTTCTCTCAAGTGTTATTTAGGAGTTTACTTGTTGGGTTCCAAAATTAGATTTCCGACTTCGCCTTTCTGAAAGGCAGACTAAATACACGTAGCAAACCCGTCTACTGGTTATTATTAAATGCGGTAAAAGAGGCCGATTTGAAGCCTAGTGGGCTCAAAAATTTTCACTTTCACTTTATATAACCCTAGGGAAGTCAAAGTACAGCGCTACCAGCTAGGGTTGTATAATATATTCTGCTTCCTGGAAACACAATTGATATTATTGATCGTCCCAGCTTTACTCCAGCTCAATTCTGAATCGCAGCACGGCAAAATAGTACCATACTATACCATTATTTTCACTGTGCTTTGTTAAACTAAACGTTACCATGGAAAAAGACTTTTACGTGTTATAATTTATTTCCTTCTTTGTCTGACTCTGATATCATTATTATAACAACTTATTACCAAAAATCGTCTGTCTGCGTTGTTAGGTCCACTTTCCATATACAGCAACGCTCTTTCCATTCACGGCGTTTGATTCGTTTAATACTAAAAATGCTTTTTTTCTCAAGACTTTCATACGAAAAAGAGAGACAATAATATATAGCAGAGAACATTTCGCTTTAAAAGGTTCCGAGGAATATTTCCTTTCCAATTAGTTGTACACAAAAGGTTCCCTTAATAGCCATAGGCATATTTTGCCCACAAGTAAATTTTAATCAGTGGTTTTTACAGCACTTTTGAACTTCTTTGATACTCAACAGAAGCTTTAAACAGGATTCAGTTTGATGCGTAAAAGGAGCGAGGGAAAAATAATGCAGAGGTCCGCGGCGTCTACGGGAAAAGAAAAGTAAGTTAACCTCCAGACATTTTTGGCATCTCGCCATTTTATTGATAGATTGAACAAACAATCTTTTCCTCATTTTTCCACAGGCATTATCGCGTTTCTTAGCAAAGCTTTTTTTTACATGAATTTATATTTTCTATCGAAACCAATAGGCATGTGCTAGATTCTCCACCCTATAATGTTTTCAAAACCAGTGCTGAAAGATTAAAATTGTAATCATGTTCAAGCAACAATGATTCTGTACCAAAAATGCTTCAGCTCCGAATACCAGTAGCGGATTTAGGTGAGGCGGGGGGGGGGGGGTTTCGGATCTCTGTTTCCATTGATCAGGGATCTGAGCTCCCTTGTTGACCTCCATGCTATAAAAATATTTGTCTTACAGTTCCTTACAAAAAAAGCTTATCATACAACTTTATGCATGAGTTCTATCAAAAAAATGCTCATATTACCATATATAAAAATTTTATGACTAGCATTTTTTCAACTATTTTCTTTTCAGAAGTCTATCGTAAAGGTTTTTAAGTAAGCTTAAATGAACTTACAGCGGGTTTCAATTGAATGAGATCATATTGGTCATCACACTTAAAACTTTTGGGGATAAAAAACCTTATCATACATTTTCCATTTATGAAAATGGTATGATAAACATTTTTTCTGTTACTGAATCCATAACTGAGGGAAAAAATTTCAAATCTCAGATCAGTCGCTATGCCAGTTTTATGAACAAAAAAAATATTTTTCAAGTTCTTGCATATAAAGCAGCCCATGCACAGTCGTTCTACATTTTTTTTTTAAAAAGGTCACAATGAAGGTTCCCTGTGATGGAAGAGTTTGTAGTTTTCAGTTTAAGATAAAAGTTTATAACCAAAATCTGTTCAATTTGTAGCCATATCCAAAACATTGCATTTTTGTTATAATTTTGCGAGAAATTCAATTTTTATCTTTGTTGGTATCTATCAATTCGTAGTTAAATCTGCGATTTTAATGCCTTTTAACTTGTTGGATTTCTCATCTGAAAAATTTTTGGTTCTGTATTTAGGGGAGAAAAAATAAATATAAAGCGAAATATAAAAATTTACATATCAAAGATGCTTGTCATCCAAATCCAGAGTATGGAAACATTTTAAAGTAATTGCAATCTTCCAAAACAATCAAATGATCTTTTCCAAAGAACCAAAAATAAGGATTCGCCGCTTATTTAGGATAAATTCTCGCAGCTGGTTTTTTTATTGAACCCTTCGTTTCAGATTTGACCGTGCAGTTTCTCAGAAAAAAAGAATAGTTTCTGAAAAACGGTCAAGAGTTCGATAACTTGACTTCACAAAATCCATAGCTTTTTTCTGCCATAAGAAGGTCATGGTAGCTTAAGCAAAAAAAAACCCAAAACCTCGTTTCCCAATTTAATACGAGCACTTAGCCTAAAATTTGGCTAGGTAGTTTTTGAGAAAAGTCAAAAGTTTTCAAAAATGGTCAATAAATTAAAAAATTTTGCAAATCACGTCTAAACATTTGGGCCTAAACGCTTATGCACGAGAACTTCATACAATTTGTTGTTTCGATTGAAAGCAAAGAATCAAAAATTGCGTGGGTAGTTTTCGAGAAAAATCAAACAGTTTTAAAAACAGTACAAAAACCAATTATTGGTGTTTTTCCTGGGGCCATAAAACTTTGGCGTGATCAGTTACACGGGCGATTTCCGCACAACCCGTTGTTTCGAATTACTCAAAATCTCATATTCGGGTTAATAGTTTTGATAAAACAAAAAAATTGAAAAAGATGGGTCAAATATTCTTAAAAATAAGAAATTTAATTGACAAAATAATATTTGTGCGAAACGTACTCCACTTTATAAGTCTTAGATTGGGTAGTTTTGATTAAATTTTATAAAAATGAGCATATCTTAAAATTTATCGTTACTACCAAAATGACCATTCTGTTAACTAATTTATTTAAGTGGAAAAACTTAGCACCCGATTACATGACCTTTGCTTATCGCAAGGGTAATAACAAAGAAAATTGAGTGTTATCAGTTCTTGTTTATCATGTAAGTTACGAAACTTTGGAAGTTAGTTGAAAAAGTATTTAGACTTTTTCAAATGTATTGACTGACCAATGAGGCCGTTCAGCTTATTCAAACTGTTTAGACATACACGCAGAAATTTTCTAAGACTATAATTATTATTTTTTTTTGGTTTTCATTTAGCATTTTGTTCATCTTCTTATCATCTAGCATTTTGAAATATATTCATAAGTTCTCCCAGGGCAAATCTTAAAATGTTCTGTTAACCCTTAGACAAAATAGAAATTGTCTTAGACAACAAGTGATGAAATTTAAAGTTTCCAAAAGTCTTCTAACTTTTCTGCAATTTTTACACCCCCCCCCCCCTCACACGCAAAGTTAAGTACTGAATGATTGACTTCGAGATCATTAACACAAAATAGTTCGATTAGCTGCCTTCAAATGAATTTGGAGTGATTTCTGACTCGGGTGAATTCGCTGCCCACATTGGAAAACCTCAATAATTTCACAAAAAATCAGTTGATTTGATTTCTTTTATAATTGAGCTCAATTCATCAATATCTTTCAAACTGAGATCCGTCATTTCAAATACTCGAAATTTCTTTGATAAAAAACCCGAAAACAAACTCTCGGTTAATTTCTTCAGCAGTCGAAACATTTTTCTGCATGCTGTTAGTACTTATCAAGAACAGATGGAATCAAAATAGAACAAGACTGCTCATATCAGGGCGAAGCGCTGAATGTTCGACTGCATTTTAAGGTCTATGGAGCAGTAATAACATTAGAAAAAATAAATGTTAAAAAATAAAATAAAAAAAAAACTCTAAAATTTGAAACTTTTATGAAAATCATCCCCCCACACGCCAAATAAAGTATAAAAGGATAGATTTTGTTCCTTGTAACAAATCAATTATGGCAAATAAGCTTCTTTCAATCAATTTGGAACGATTTCTAAAGACGTTTAACTCTCCGCTTACGCGTTAACAGCGCGAAATATATCGCTCGTTAATTGTCCCAAATTGGCCAAAATAGCAACCTTTAAACCCCATAATTTTACAAAAAATAATCACAATTGAAATATTTTTTCAATTTTGAGCTCAGGACAACAGTTCCTTTTGAATGTTATAAATAAATTCCGTCAAAAATGGCTGGTTAAAAAGTCAAAATTTGTCTGGAGAAAAAAAAGCCAACCACGAGCACAAATATTCGTTACTTTCGTATCGAAAGTCGGAACAATTACACGGCGTGTTTTGTGAATTCACTTTGAGAAATTTTTCGTAAACAATTGTTCTCGATATCTAGAATTTTGCCATCTTCAAATCCAAAAGTAGAAATTTGCTTCTTAATCGAAAACTATTAACTAATAGGTGCATTATCACAATAGATGGTAAAGTTGCAAATGCTATTTTTTGGTCGCACACAATTTGCCCAATGCTGTAAGTTTTCCAAATCAAAATGGTATATTTTTTTTCGAATTATCATTTTCCTAATTGGAAATGAAAATTTTGTTCATCTTTGCATAAAAACTTCTGCGTCATTTTTATCGTTGGTGAATAAGAATTTAATTATGATTTTTTAATAGTGAGAAAGATTGTATGAAGAAAAAAATGTACCACTATTTCTAATGTATCGGCTATTAACACAAACCTAATCTTTTCTCCCATATTCCACAAATAAAAACAAGACTGCTGGTATCAGGAAGAAGCCCTCAATGTTTTGACTGCTTTTTGAGGTCTATAGAGCAGTAATAATATTTAAAAATTATATGTAATTAAATAAAATGAAAAATTTTGTTTTCTTAAACTTGAAAATTTTATGCAAATCATCCCCCACAACGCCAAATATAGTACAAAAGGATAGAATTCGCTCCATGTAACAAATCATTTATGGCAATTAAGCAAATAAGCTTCTTTCAACCAATTTGGAACGATTTCTAAAGACGGATTAGCTCTCCGCTTACGCGTTAACAGCGCGAAATATATCGCGCGTTAATAGTCCCAAATGGTCCAAAATGGCAAGCTTTAAGCCCCCATAACTTTACAAAAAATGATCACTAGCGACATATTTTTTCGAATTTGAGCTCAGGACAACAGTTTCTTTCGAATGATATTTTAAAAAATCCGTCAAAAATGGCTATTTAAAAAGTCGAAATTTGTCTGAAGAAAAAAAACCCACCCGAGCACAAATTTTCCGTTACTGTCGTATCGAAAATCGGAACAATGAATACCTCAAATTCCACTTGAAATCAATTCGATAAAAAACACGCAGTCTTTACAAATAAACAGGCTTTACTAACTTCGGATGAAAGTTTGGTTTAGTCCGTGAGTTGAATTTGTTTTCTAGTTTTTCATCTAAAATGAGAAAACTAATAGAAAGAAATGTATATTTTTTGACATTCATCAAAATTATCGAAACAATTTCCTAATTAAAAGTTTAACTTGAATTCATTATTCTGATATGATGTTGAAGTACACAAAAAATTAGAGCTTTGTTAGTCAAAAATGTGTTCAGTCTTCAAAGTTGAATATAACTGATTCTGCTTCAATAATGCTCAAAATTCTCTGTAAGTTTCACTGAAAATGCATCATTTGGTTATTAAGTTTAAGTGTACCCCTTCCTCCGAAAAAAATTCCTGATAAAAAATTAATTTGGCAATACATTTTTACAAAATTGCTGAAATACTTTGAAAAAACTTTTGGAACATTATTTCAAAATTCGGTATCTAAACATTTGGTACTTCAAAATGGTTCAAATGAAGGAAATTTTTTTAAGATGAGTTGATGAGACAACTTATCAAACGTATTTGCCATAAGTGGAACACATCGTAAAAGCAAATAGTCTAATGTATCAGTACCGAAAATAAACTATGGTATATTTGATATTTATCCTTGCGGTAGGCAAGGTTTTGCAGTCGGATACTAGACTTTTTACCCTTGCGATAAGCAAAAGTATTGAAATCGGGTACCAGACTTTTTTTCCGTAA